TATATATTTCTATATATATTTCTATTATATTTCTATATATATATATTTCTATTTATATATATATATTTATATATATATATATATATATATGAAACTCTTTCCAACCTTGCCATCATAACTCATACCTTAATATCTGTTTCTCTTGTTCGCTGATGCCATTTCTGGCCCTTTTCCGCCAGTATCTATCCACTCCGTTCTTGAAATATATAATCGCTATCTGTCTCGCATGGTCGTGCAGTTGCCCTTGATTATTGATATATGCCCTTTGACACATAATCTCAAACAATGCCGTGAAGAAACCTGGACGTATCTCAGCTTGCTTCAACTTACCATATGCCTGTTGTACTACATTTGCGTCTTGAGTTGCAGATGCTACGATTAGAGGGTACACATCCGCTGTGTTTAGCGGAGGCCCGTTGGCAGCCGTGTTGGCCTGCATCGTGGACTTAAAATAGAATAGGTGTCCGGTAGAGATTTGATGTGTACAATATAGATCTATACTTCTACGCTAGGATATGGAAAGTGACTATATGCCGGCAGGTTGTAGACTGTGAAGCTTTTTCTATGAAGCTTCTACATCCGCTGAATAGACAGCTGAAGCCTGAAACTGAGGGCGAGAGTCTGAAACCATTTCAAAAAGGAAAACAAAAAGAACAAGAGCTTCGCAAAAAAATCTACCAAAACAAATTTAGCCCTGATTTCATACTCTTTTTTTTATCGGTCAAGGATACCGAGTACCGACACCCACATATCAAATTGTACCTAACGCATGTCCAAATCACCAATTTGATATGTTTTGTCCTAATAATAATCAGTCAGTATTGTTTTACCAGGGGCTCCGGAGGCTGAAGTCTGCGGCTATCACTTTTTTAGCGGGTCATTGTATATTTTGGGCTCCAATTTTTGAGAAGGATATGTCCAATATTTTAGTGAAAATATGATGACGTCAATGCACGTGACAAATTTCTACGGCTTTTTCGCTCATTTTTTTTGTGTGGGATGTTTCTTTTCTTTCCTTGGGGCGTCCTTCACTGTCCTGGTCCTGGGCCTGCTCTTTCCTGATACAGTAAGCCAATCTCTTCCAGGAAATACTATCTCCGAAGGCTGATATATTTAAAAATAATAAGCTAAAGTATGTGTATTTACTGAAGTAGACAGAAAGTCAATGTGTCACTAACCACGCACCAACAATCACACAAAGTTAATGCACTATGAACTCTATTACTGAGAATATGACCACGGAATACGGGGTCAACTGCACAGTCAGCGCTGGCGAGGATGTGATCCAAACCCTTATAGAACAGTCAGGGTGTGCTTTGAAAGTAACCACAGTTGCTGGACGCGGTAAAGGACTTGTAGCTACCTCTAAGATTGAAGAAGGAACGGTTATTGCATGTGAATCACCCCTGTTATGCATGCAAAATAATATAAGAGATATTGTCACATGTGCGTGTTGCTGTGCAACCGTTGGTAGTATCATGCAGCAGATCGATGTGGCAGCGAGAGTGCTGCAGCCAGTGGATATGGATATGGATGCCGAGGACGACTGGAAACTACCCACTCTGCCAAGCGAAACGTGAGTTGAATGTAGTGTTATGCGTAGATATATAGTGATGACCAAGATATATATATATATATATATATATATATATATATATATATATATATATATATATATATATATATATATATATATATATATATATATATATATATATATATATATATATATATATATATA